ACGCCTTGTTGGCTACCCTCCAATTCGAAGGGTGCGGCTGACACAGGCAGAGAAGCGAGAGAGGTAACTGGCAGGGCAGGCGCAGCTCGCCCACACGGTGGCTCCACGGCGGCCCTTGTTCCTCCTGTGCTCCCGCGGTCCCAGGAAACACTTGGCTAGAACTGCCGGGACAGAAGACTCCTTCCTGGCCTTCAACACACCACTGTAAGCCACTGAGGACCATCACGTGAGAGCGTCTGCAAAGCGGGCAGAGAGATCCAGAAGCCCCACCCTCTGACCCTGCAGTGAAAGACTGTAAGCATGCACCTCCTTACTCCCTCAGGGAAGCCGTCGTCCACGAGAGGGTTTCTCACAAACCAATCTCGAAACCGCCCAAGACCAGCAGACCCCATTCCCTTGGCAGCAGCCAGACCTGCTTGTTCCCCCAGGCCCACCCTCCTCACTGCGCTGTGCGCCCTCGATTCCACCCTCAGACTCTCCACTACCTTCCCTCCATCTCCCGAGGTTCTCCTCCGGGCCGTCCCTGGGTACGCCCTCCTGGATTCCATACCCTCTGCTGCGGCTCCCTGACCTGCAGTCCCCACTCCTGGGCAGCAGGTCCCGGCACGCCTGCTGCCCACAGCCCAGCTCAGCTTTCCCCTCCACTGCACGGATAGGCCTTCCCTGTACAGCAGTGGCCTGGAGCTGTGAGCTTGGCCAACGTGTCCCTGCCTAGCTGCGCTCTCTGCAACCTCCCTGCCTGTGTCCTCCTCCTCCTTTGGCCAAGCTGCTCTCTCCTGTCCTTCCCTCAGGGGGCCTGTCGATCTCAAGTCTGTATCCCTGGCTCGCCATCCCCCACACTTGCACTCGGGTTCACGGTGAGCAGTGACTCGTGCGGGCCAGCCACGGGCAGGCCAGCCACTCCCTGGGGAACACTCAGCACTGCCGGCTCCGTTCCAGAGTGGACAGAGGGCGCAGAGCTGCACATCCAGGAGCAGCAGCCCTGGGACAAACCAGGCCTACTTCACCCAGCAGGTGCCTGCAACCAACACGCCTAAGCTCAGTTACCATCTTCCATCAGATGCCCTTTCCTCTCGTATTCCCCAGCAGTTTGGGGACCAAACCCGGAGGCACTGGGCTGTACTGTCCCCTCCCCTACAGCTGTGCCTTCAAGACCTGGAGAGAGTGCTCTCTCTGCAGTAGCCTCAGGCCACATTCCACAGGGCCTCCTCCCCACCCAAGCAGTTCTCCAGGTGAGTGGAGGCTTTTCTAACTATTCTGGAATAAAAATACGGACAGGCTCTCCCCTAACTAAGGCTTGCCATAGCCCTCATTCAAGAGTACAGGCTTCAAGGTGCAACTGCTGGCCTCTGCCTGGCAGCCCTCCCGTCGAGCCACAACCCGCTAATCCAGGCCCACTCAGGTCAGTGGGCTCCAGACTCTGCCTTAGCATTTTGTCCTAGGGATGCCGCCACGCCTGGGCTGCCTCACTCAGACTGCAGCTGCCGGGAGTCCCAGGCTTCAAGCTCTCTGCCCCATGTTTGCATGCCGCTCTGCTGGGCTAGAACTGTCTTCTCCACCCAGTCTCCTCCTCTGAGGCCCACTTCCCTTCATGTCCTGACTCAGAGATTAGTTCAGGAAGAGGGGTCCCTTCCTCCAGTTCACAGTGCTCTGGCGTGGGTACTTCTTTAACATACACCCTCACCCCAACTGTGAGCTCCTGACAGCAAAACTCTCATTATTCAGGTTTTTTTTTTTTACCATTATTATTATTATTATTATTATTATTTTAATTTGACCAGAGAGACACAGAGAGGGGAAGTGAGAAAGTAAGTTGCCATGTCGGGGACTCGGACCATAGTTGGCCACATCTGAGTCCAGAGCCTTAACCACCATGCCATCTGCTGGTCCCCAAACCCTCAGTTTCTAACCTGAGGCCAGGCCAGTGCACACGAATGGAGCTCAGTAAGCACACGCAACAGCCTGTATTTCACAGTTACACACACACGCACACACACACACACACACACACACACACACACACAGGCTGAGTAAGCCTGGAGTTGTTTAAAACAAATAAACAAAAAACACACAATACCCACTTTCTATGTGATCTTCTTGACCAGGTTTTCCTATCATCAAAAATTTTCAATCAAAAATTTAAAAATAAATAAGGGACCAGCAGTTAGTAATGGCTATGTCGCTGGAATCCTATGTATGTAGTCGACCGCGGTTTGTGTCCCGGACCCGATGGCTTAAAACTCACACCGGGTGCGTGTGCGTGCGTGCCCAAGATCCCGAGAGAACGAAGGAGAAGAGATTGCAGCATGATTTCTAGCTTTCTGTCTGATTTCTAGCTTTCTGTCTCTCTGTCTCTCTCTCTGTCTGGCAAGCACAGGCGCCCTATGGCAAAAACCTCTCCAAAATAAATAAATAAATACTTAATGGTAAATGCTGAAAAGAATTGTTTTCAACCGAATCGGCAGGTAGTGTGGCGGAGGCAGGGACTCCCACGTGGCTGCCCAGTCCTAGCAGCTTGCTTTCTCACTCTCCCGCTCTCTCGCTCGCTCTCTCTCTCTGGTGAGCACATGTGTCTTAAAGCAAGTTAAAAAATAATAATCAATAAAACTAAATAAGTAATTATTTAAAGAAAAAAAGAAAGAAAGAAAAAAGCCAAGTGAAGGGCATCCTAAACTGCATTTTCATGGTTTCTCATGCTAAAAGATGGCTCTTACTAGGCTCTGGTAGCCACTGGGGAGAACACTGTCAGCTGTCTTAGAAGCCCTAAAACATCTACAGTGCTGTCCTACACCACCGACGTGCAAGTGGCTGTTCTTCATCTCTGGCAGTCTGCAACACAGAAGGTTAGGGTGGGCTTCCCAAGGAGTCTGAGTCCCGAAGACCTCATGGAGAAGGCTGGCTTTGAGACGGTGCTGATGTCCTTTATTAAAAACACCAGGTGGTTTTGCTACTATTGGGTTGTCAGAAAAGTCATGATGTGTTTTTTTCTGTTTTTCTATCTTGTTAAGATACAGGGAAGTCAGTGTCTGGCCAAATTTTCCAAGAGGGATGCAGTGCAGCTATTCATTTACGAACTGAGAAGAAACTGCTGATGTGCGGACCAGCTCGTTAGAGTGCCCTGATGTGCACAAGGGTCAGAAAGCAAACGGGCTGAAGAGCAGGATGACGACCAGGTTTTCTCTTTTGTTCATGATTCAGATCAACAAGGTTTGGTACCCATGTTAATTAAAAGATATTTCTTTTTTCCTTTTTATTTTTTTAAGAGGTCTCTGCCTTAGGGCATGCATGCTAGGGGGTGGGGGAGAGTCAGAGACAGTGAGAGGGAAAGTGAGAAATCACTCTCCCAAGGATGGCCACTCTGCAATCCCTTCTCCTCCCATTCTCCTGGGATCTTGTGTGCCCACATACATGTGCCTAGTGTGAGTCTGAAGCCACCGGAACTGGGGCTGGAACCATGACTGGCCGTGTGGGAGTCCAACAACTTAACCGCTACGCTGCCTGTGGCCCAATTAAAAAGTACTTCTTACAAAGGAAAGAACTAAAGGTCCAAGTGGCGCCATGCAGCTGCTGAGTCCCGGACACCGACGGCGTCCACCAGACACAGCAGAGAGACGGACAACTCTTACTTTTTCCGCATACATAATTAACTGGCCAGAGGACTACACTGGATCTGCTTTGCTTTTTTCATTGGCCAGATAAAACTGCACCTGAGATTGTGGTGAGCCCTGGGAAGGGTGTAGGAAAGGACAGGGTGATCACCAGACAGGGCTTCCTGACGACTGGGCATCGGGCGCCAGAGGAAGGCGTGTCACGACTTTCTCGATGACCTAGCAGTACTGTCTCTGATGTGGAAAGACAGGTGAGGAGTAGCTGAGTGAGAACTGGGGTGCCCTGGAATGTGCCGGGGCCTTCACTGTCTGAGCCTCGCCTCTGCACCTGCTGCCTACAGGGCAGTGACAGTGGGCCTCGGGGAGCCCTGGGCCGCCCCCACCCCGTGGGTGGGGGAAGCCGGCAGGGGGTCTCCACAACATCCCCCGCACATTGTAAGGACGAGCCACCAATCCGCACAATGTCTTCCTCCAACCTCTACTCAGAGGGCAGTGCTTCTCATCTGGGTCAAGGTTAGGCACAATTCTTACACACTCACCCAAACCCAGGTACTCCTTTCAAAAATGAGAGGCAAGTACAAAGCATTACCTGCCGTTTTCTTGAAACAAAAAATAAGTTTGGTGTTTTACTCAAAAATCCTAGAGGCGAGCCTATCTCTGGGGGCACTACACATTGTTCCAGAGGTTTTAGTCTGAATGCACCTGCGATCAGGTTAGAATGGTGTGCAGAAATGTTATTTGTCTGGATTATAACAAAGCAATCTTTTACATATCAAGAAAAATAAGAAATTGAGTTTCTCTGGTAATTTCTAAAAGAAAAAGACTTTATTTTATCTTGAGAATTTTCCATTTGCTGGGCTCTAAATTCAAGAGACCTGAGTAAACACCTGTGCCTTTTGCGAGGGGGCTCTTTACTAGTTGGTTTTTTGGTTTGTGTAACATTTTACATGGAAAATGGAAAAATAACATCCCCAGCTTTTTCTTTTGTTACTGCCAAGACAGACATGCTGTCCCGCTATGTAAAACCTCCCACTTTAACTACGACTTGTTTTTCATGGAAGCAAAGCGGGTATCTACACTTCTGGTCCCCCCTAAAAATCCCACCTGGCCATGTGAGCACAGGAGCCGTGAGCTGGGGAGGGCAGGACTCTGGCCAAGCAGGGGCCTAGAGTCCACATGGGTGAGGTGGGGAAGAGAAGGGAGGACAGCAGAGTCTGTTTTAATTTCTTCATTATTGGGGATTTCTAGTTTTAAAACAATCCTCTGGGCTTCTTAAAAAAAAAAAAAAAAAAAAAAAAAAAAAACCCATTGTCCTTAAGGTTCCGTAATGTTTTATATCGGTACTTCAATCTAATTGTGTGCAGACGTAGTCTAAAAAACAGAAAACTCCTGAAACATTCCTTTCTGTATCCATGTCTGCAAATAAAAGAACCACCCCTTAAGTAGACATTAGGGATTTGTTTTGTTTTGTTTTGTTAGTGGCAGAGAGAGGGAAAAGAGAAACAGACAGATGCTTCCGACAGGACCCGTGTTGCAATCCTCCTGCCGCAGCCTCCTGATCAGTTAGGGTCACAGGAGCACAGCCACGATGGTGTGTCCAGACTGGCCTAGGACCAAACCTGTGTCTCCCCGGATTGGGGGGGGGGTGCTACCTGGGTATCACGCTGGCTGGCCAGACACTCAGGGCTGTAGCAAGCCGCCAGTCTGTCAGGCTTTGTGAAGTCTAGCTCCCTGCTCACTCAGGGGCTGGTGATGACCCTCACACTCGCACCTTCTCCGTAGTCCCGTGGGTTCCTAGACATCTGCTGAGTGAAGATGAGGAGAGGGTGACATGTGTAAGGACACTCTAACATGTGCAACCTACAGGGAGAGGACAGAAGAGACGCTACCTCTGGGTCCTTCTGAGCCCCTCCCTGACCAAATGCTTACTAATTAGGTAGAGATGTGCCATGGCATTTAACCTAGACTTGTTTTACAGATGTGTTATTCTTCACTCTAGATTCACAGAGAAACAAAGCCCTGTATCACTGTCTCCATGTCCAGAAAGAATGCACTGCACTTCTTCTGCCGGGCTCTCGGGACTTGATTCCAAACACAGCTACTCCGAGGAAAGACCGGCCAGCTCTCACCTGCGCGGTCTCCCAGTAAGAGCGAGTACACACGCTGCCGGACGGGGCGGTAGGTGAAGGCCTGGCTGGGCAGAGCCTGGTCGAGCTCGTCCTCCAAGGTGTTGCTACACTCGATCTCGCCGCTGCTCAGGATGTTGTACACCAAGTAGCTTTCTGCTTGCACGTGACGTGTTCTAGCAACCTGTTCCAAAGTTAGAGAGAACCAACTTCTCTGAAAACAAACGAATCTAGATGTAGAAAAAGTCAGTACCTTTTACTGTCCCCACCTGCCAGGGCACTCAGAACGGGGTCCCTGCCCACCGAGCTCACTCAGGGCTCCCTCCCGCCCAGGGGCCACGTGCACACTTCCTATGCCAGTTGCACCCTCGTCTCCAGGCACCTGAGTCAGCGCGCTGTCCCCCGCGGCGCTGCGCTGTGCTGCCTGTTGATCCCTCCACCCAGTGCTCTTCATTTTGCACCAGGGCACTAAATACAAGCTCCTCAGTGACCCTCTAGCCTGCTTCTGCCCTTTCCAGACCATCTTCCCTACCCCAACCACACTGTCTTCTGGAAACAGGACCAACTATGATGCCCTCGAAACACCTGACCAAGCATCAAATTCTTCAGCATAAATTCGAGGTCTCATTCTCCTAGCTCAAAATGCTGTTTTGCCCTCACAGAAACCCATACTCTATCCTAATGCATCGCCACTGCTCCTCAAGACCCCTGAGTCCGCTCCCACCTTCCCCTGCCCAGAACGCCCTTCCCCTCCACTCTCCCTCACACAGCCCTTTCTCCTCTCAGGCTCCTCTCTACAAACCCTCTCCTCCTTCCACGACCAGAACTAGCCTCCAGCCTAGGAGCCTCGACTTCCCTATCGCACGGCCATCTTGCCTGAGCTCTCTGAAGACGAGGGACGGCTGGGATCAGACGCTATATTGCATTTATACATTCATTTGTTCAGTAATTGTTTATTATGTGCAAAAAACTATATGCCAGGCACTGCATTGCTCCCTTCCAATGACAGGACAGAGCTGGCCCATGGTGGGGTATGAGACAGGTAACACAAACTAATTTCACTTTCTCATTACAGTCAAGACCAGAAGCTCTATAATGACCTACATTTAGGTGTTATTCTCCTGAGAAAAACATTCTTATTACTGTGAAAATAAATTTATCTGTACTAGTATTCAAAATTCTAACAGTCCATCATTAGGGCATGTAAAGCATGAAGTTAGAATAACTTGGAATATTGGGACCAGCAGATGGCATAATGGTTACGTTGCTGGACTCCCAAGCAGCTGAATGCAGTTCTAGCCCCAGACCCAGCACCTTAGGTGGTGTGGTGGTTAAGGTGCTGGACTCACACATGGCTGACCATGGTTCAATCCCGGACCTGGCCACTTGCTTTCTCCCTCCACCCCCTCTGTGTGGGTTTGCCTCTCTCTGGTCAAACAGAATAATAATAATAAATAAAATAAAATAACTAACAAAAAACCTCACACCAGGTACATGTGCGTGCATGCCCACAATCCCGAGAGGAGAATGGAGAAGGGATTATGGTATGGCCAACCCCCCTGAGGGGGGTGACTTCTCATTTTCTGTCTGTCTCTGTCTCGCAGGCAAGCAAAAATCTCTCTAAACAAAACAAAACAGAACAAAACAACCAAGAACCTCAGAACATCAAAAACTCAGTGTTTAATTTATATTTACTTAAGCAGTCCTAGGTATGCTGATTCATTATCATAGAACTGAGTCAGAGAGATCAGCAGTTAGCGTAATGGCTATGTCGCTGGGTTCCCACGTAGTCACCTGTGGTCCAAGTCCCGGACCCGGTGGCTTAAACTCATGGGGACCAGCAGTTAGCGTAATGGCTATGTCGCTGGACTCCCACATAGTCGACCGCGGTTTGAGTCCTGGACCCAGTGGCTTAAACTCAAGCTGGGTATGGGTGCGTGCGTGCCCAAGATCCTGAGAGGAGAAGGGATTGCGGCGTGGCCATCCCCCTGGGGGGTGATGTCTCACTTTCTATCTCTCTGTCTCTCTCTGTCTTTCTGGCAAGCGCACGCGCCCTATAGCAAAAACCTCTCCAAAAAAAGAAAAAAAGAAAAAAAAAAAAGAATTGAGTCAGTATCTCTGTTTCTACATCCTTCCTATAAAAACTGGGTTTAATAAAAATGTCAGCCTCTCAGGACTTGTGCACACAGCCAGTCACACAGCTGACACTCAGTTGTGCTGACGCTCCACTGCAAGGTGACCCGGATGCCAGGCCCCTTTGGAACCTAGACACCTGACAGAATGCCTACAGGGCCAGAATTCCTCCCAACTAAGGAAGACCTGCCAGCATCGCTAAAGTCAATAACGTTAAAGAGATTTTAAAGAGTGATTTAACAAGGCCAGACTCCCATCTGGCTGACTGAGGTTTAAATCCTGGGCCCAGCAGCTTGAAAATCATGCCAGCAGGACCAGTGGAACTGGACTCCCACACAGTCAACCGCAGTTCAAGTTCTGGACCTAGTGACTTGCTTTCTCACTTTTCTGCCCTTTCTCTCTGGTCAAATTTAAAAAATGATACTACATAAAATTAAAGAAGTAATTACATTAAAAAAAAATCATGCCAGGTATGTGTGTGTGTGTGCGTGTGTGCATGTGCATGCCCAAAATCCTGAGAGTGGAGAGGGGACTGCAGTGTGGCCACCCCCATGGGGGTGATTTCTCATGTTCCCTCTTTCTGTCTCTCTGGAATGCACGTGCCCTATGGCAAAAACCTTAAAAAAAAAAAAAAAAAAAAAGATGAAGTGAGGAAGTGTGTAATGGTCTCGGATCGAACTTATGCTTTGACCGCCTGAGGCCATCAAAAGCGACCTGTACTGTCCACGGACCCTCTGACACAGACTCTACTAGGAATGTCTGGCCGTGTATTTAGGGATCCTTCGGGGTAGTCACTCCGCCTCACCCTTCTATTCCCTCTTCCACTTCTGATTCTTTTTATCTTGAACGAGCTGTTTATACAAATTCACCTAGAAAACTGTAATATCTTCCTTTACCCTACCAAGAAATCCAATTTTGGCAACTCTACTGAATTTGAGATGCAACACTGTTTCCCAGCTGCACCCAGGGGAGCCCCCACCCCCTCTAAGCTGTGACTAACCCAACTAACCCAGGTTAGATCGGTGTCCTCTACCCTGCCCTCGGAAGCAGACAGACAGCACCCTGCTCTGGAGGAAGTCTTCACACACCCCCTGATGGAAGATCCTAAAGCACACTGAATTTAGTTTATCTTAACGGTTCCCGAACACCCTGCCGTGGAGAAAGCACAGGTGCCTGCTATGCCCCGTCCAGCTCAGAGGGCAGCTACCACACATGCTCAAAGTTCCGTCGCCTGCACATCGGCAGGAGACTCCACTGCAAAACAGTTTTAAAGAGCGATACGGCTTGGGACCAGCACTTGGCGTAATGGCTATGTCACAGGATTCCCATGTAGTCGACTGCGGTTTGGGTCCCGGACCTGATGACTTAAACTCATGCCAGGCGCCTGTGTGTGCATGCCCAAGATCCCAAGAAGGGATGGAGAAGGGACTGCTGCGTGGTCATCCCCCCGGGAGGTGATTTCTTGCTTTGTCTCTCCGTCTCTGTCTTTCTGGCTAATGCATGCTCCCTATAGCAAAAACCTCTCCGAAAAGGAAACAACAACAACAACAAAAAGAGCAATACAAAGCAATTGAAGAAACTTCTAAATTGCTTCTACAACATAGTTAAGTTCAACAGAAGCCCCAGACACTAACGATGTACCCATCCATCCTGCCAGCACACAGGCCTCAAGCCCTTCCCGGGTCTCTCCTCCCATCACAGGCCCTTCCCTGCCAAGCTCCCACCTTCCCTCCGCTGCTCCTCAGTCCCTCTGCTGTCGTAATTCTCCAAGGAAACCAAAGCCTCCTCTGGCCAAACCCGGCTACCTGGGTGGCCTGGCCCTGCTGCCTGTCCTCTGCAGCATCTGACACTCCATATCTCTCCCCATTCCTGAAAACTGCCTCGGGCTTTTGTTGGGGACATTCCCTGTTCCTCCTATCCCCACCTCACACAGCCTTCCACTCTGAGGGCATTCAGTGTAACGAGGACTGCCAGATGCTATCTCCTACTTCTGTCCATAGGACTTGGGGCCATTCTCACTACGTGGGCATGTCCGAGGTGTCTACACCAGCCCCCTGTAAACCCTGCCTTGCTCTCCCTTCACCAACAGGAACCACCACCCTCAGTGCTCAGGGATGTACTTCACCTCCACAGGAGGCTGGCTTCTTAGTTTTACTTCTAAATCATTTCTTGACTTTGCTTCTATTTCCACTGCAGTTTTCTTAATTCTAGTGCTTTTTTTTGTATCTTACGTGAGTTTCTGCAATGGCCACGTACACTCGCCAAGGTCTCACAAATACCTGGTCAAGGTGCTGCAGTGGCCATGCCTCAGGGTCAGAAGCAGGCCGACACCGCCTACCGCCAGGCATCCCCCATGCAGCCCAGGCTGCTGCCCAGGCCAGAGTGTGACGTAGGTGTTTCTCCGGAGCCTGAGAAGCACCCGCTCTCCTGCTCTGATTGCTGACCACGGCACCTTCCTCCCCAGGGCCAGCCAGTGTCCACGGCAGCAGGCAAGGAGATGGGAGCTTGCCAAGAGTGACTCGGCCTAGGGCGGGGGCGTAGACCTTTGGTCTGCGAGCGCACACCTCTGTACGCTGGCCCGTAAGAAGGGAGCCCAGAGCGTGGCTCTCAATGGGGCTGCGCAGCAACTATGTGAGAACCCGTGGCGTGCCCTGTGGGTCACAGATCGTAGACACACACTCACAGAGACGCATCTCTGTCTGACAGTGGCCAGCCAGGGCAGAATGCCGGAGTGGCGTGAGCTGAGCCCGAAGCCGGCTCTTCTCCATTCTGCCTCCTCACATCCTGCCATGCCACGACTGAGCACCACACTCCCCGGGCTCACACCGGCGGGGGGGGCGGCCCGGCACCCTGTGCTGGGGCCTGCCCACACTCACACAGAGGTTCGGCTCCACCCTCCCTCCAGTGGCTGACCTGCTTTCTCCTCCATGAGGCACTTATAAACGCTCTCAAATAGAAGTAGCCATGTTTCCCCCTCGACTCCTTCATACCTTCTACCTTGTAATCCCTAACGGGTGCATTATATGCTACTTTCTCCTGTAACTATCTGTATTAGTAAATTACTTTATCTGCTGCAATGTCCGTAAATAGAAAAAGAGGGTGGGGTCAGAGGATGGTGTGGTGAGTGAGGTGCTGGACCCCCACACAGCTGACCAAGGTTTGAGTTTCAGACCCAGCAGCTTGAAATTCACACCAGGTGCCTGTGTGCGCGTGAGTGCCCAAAATCCTGAGAGGAAAACGGAGAAGGGATTGTGGCGTGGCCATCCCCTGGGCATGATTTCTCATTTTCCGTCTCTCTGTCTCTTTCTGCCTCTCCAATGACCACACGTACACTATGGCAAAAATCTCTGAAGACAAGAAAAGAGGCTAAAGACATTTTTATTAGTGTTTTACTTAGGTTTGCTGTAGGTCACATGCACTCGCTAGCCGCCCCAGCCCGTGCACCCTGTGCTGGGGCCTGCCCACACTCACACAGAGGTTCGGCTCCACCCTCCCTCCAGTGGCTGACCTGCTTTCTCCTCCATGAGGCACTTATAAACGCTCTCAAATAGAAGTAGCCATGTTTCCCCCTCGACTCCTTCATACCTTCTACCTTGTAATCCCTAACGGGTGCATTATATGCTACTTTCTCCTGTAACTATCTGTATTAGTAAATTACTTTATCTGCTGCAATGTCCGTAAATAGAAAAAGAGGGTGGGGTCAGAGGATGGTGTGGTGAGTGAGGTGCTGGACCCCCACACAGCTGACCAAGGTTTGAGTTTCAGACCCAGCAGCTTGAAATTCACACCAGGTGCCTGTGTGCGCGTGAGTGCCCAAAATCCTGAGAGGAAAACGGAGAAGGGATTGTGGCGTGGCCATCCCCTGGGCATGATTTCTCATTTTCCGTCTCTCTGTCTCTTTCTGCCTCTCCAATGACCACACGTACACTATGGCAAAAATCTCTGAAGACAAGAAAAGAGGCTAAAGACATTTTTATTAGTGTTTTACTTAGGTTTGCTGTAGGTCACATGCACTCGCTAGCCAGAGAGAGACACAGAGAGGGAAAGCAAGGAATGCCCCACCACCCACCCCAGAGATGACCGTGCCTCAATCCCTTCTCTTTCAGTCTCCTCTCAGGATTTCGGCATGCACGACTTTCAAGCCGCTGGGTCCGGGACTCAGACTGTACAGTCGGCTGTGTGGGCTCTACCATCTTCTCTCCCTTTTAAAAGGTTTTTGCCATGGGAACCAGCAGTTAGCGTAATGGCTATGTCGCTGGACTCCCACGTAGTCGACCGCGGGTCGTGTCCCGGCCCCGGTGCATTAAAACTCACGCCAGGCGCGTGTACATGCATGCCCAAGATCCCGAGAGGAGAATG